ATGTTTACTCGTTTTGAAGAATGTTTGATCAGTCATACAAAATTGTGTTATGTTGTATTCCAGCTATCGACCTTTCTCATTTGCCATATCCTTGCTGAGCTGTAAATACTTCAGTGAATGGAAGAGCTTGATTTTCCGCTCTAAGTCAAAGAGAGGGTGTTGGAGCTGTCCAGAGTGTAGTATTTTCTCCTAGACCGGTGGCAGCAGTAGTTAGGCTTGGGATCCAAACCACAGATCCTAAACCCGGATCAAACAGACGTTTAGTGCATTCTCTGCATGGGAAAAGTGAAACATCTTCTCTTTTGTTGCTCACACGGATAAGCAGCAGGGTAAGGTAAATAGATTACTAAAAATTATTTTCCCGGAATGGCGACAGGGTAGAAACTGACCTTTCAAGTGGTCACGGAAGGGGACAGGTCTTGGGAATTTTGTGATATGCCGAATCACTGAATCTTCAAGGTTGGAAGAGACCTTCGAGATCATCCAGTCCCACCAACTCAGCACCACCCAGAAGAGGCTGTATGAAAGAAAAACTGAAGTGGTTGTGTAGGGAGCTGAGCAAGGGACTGTGATAAAGGCATAAAACTCCTCAACAAAGCAACAGTAAGAAGAAAAATATGAACAGTGCAGTTGTTGAAACAATTAATAAGACAAAATAGCAGGTGCAAAGTTACCAAAGCTTTTAAAATATGGAATTATTTATCGTTTTATCTTTTGGACTGGCAAGGGAAATTATCTTCTGGGGTATATTTTGGCAGGAGGCAGGTCTGTACATACATTCTTGGATGGCCAGAGAGTATGCTCCTGCAGTGATGGAATATCTGCAGTGGAGAACAGGACACATGATGTGGTTAATGGGGGGGGAAAAAGGGCAGATAGTGTTTATGCTGAAATAAAGGCAGCAAGTTCTGGATCCATGAGCTGAGGGAGAGGGTGTTGTCAGGAGCAAACTCCAAAGTGTGGCTTGGAGCAGCTGTAAGGATGGAAACGTTGGCAGTGACACAGAACAGGGAGGGAAATTAGAGACAACTGAAAAGATGGATATGATTGGTGTCAATAGGATTAGCTGCTCAACAAGATATTTGGAGGCATAGCTAAATGCTTTATATGTACTCTCTTTAACGTGTTATGGGTATATCTGGCAGGATTTGGGGAGCAGGATGGGAGGACACCAGGGAGTGTCCCCATGTTGGTGACACGCAGGAGTTCATGCCTGAGCAGAGGAAATGAGTGAGAAGGAAGGATCCACCGAAGAAAAGAGTAAATAAAAAGGAGTGGCAACTCCCACCCCCTGCAATGTGCAGACCCCAATCTTCATTGCATGACTGAAGGGACTGAGTGTACCTGTAGCCAGACAAGGGGAGGGAAGACCAAGAAGCTGGAGGACAAGTTTCTGGACTGAACTTGACTCTTGGGAAAGGGAGGAAAGATGTTTCCCTAAGTGTTTGTTTAGCTGAATGTCTTCCTTTTTTCTCAATACCCAAATCAGTGATGAAAAGTTTATTTTCATTGGCAATAAATTAAATTCAGTGGAATTCCCCGAGTTTCAGTCTTCTTCTGAGAACAGATTAGTAGTAGCCCTGCAAGCAAATGCAATGTTTCATAATACCTGCTAAAGAACAGTTGGGGGAAAAAAAAAAAAAAAAGAGAAAAGCAAAAGAAAAATCACTAGTTTTCAAATTAAGGCAAACTGCAAAGACACTGAATTAATTGTTAGTGAGATTCTAAACATGAGCTTGGCTTCCTCTTGCTTCTTACATAAATTAAATAAAGAAAAATATCAGCAAGAATTCTGTGGAGCAATACCATTTTCTTTACTGTAGGTTGGATAGCAGGAGTTTTGTATCCAGAAGCATTTTCCTTGGTATTTTACATACACTTTTGTCAAAAAGGAATAGTGATCGGTTGTGAAACAAATATTCTCCCCTCAATTTGAAGTTATCAAAATGGCTTCTTAAATCAGCAAAGGGGGTGGGGGGAACCAAAAAACAACGTGTCAGATGGTTTCATTGTTGGTCTTGTATTAAACACCTTTGCTGCTGCCTTCCTGGTTGTGTGACTTGGAAGTTCTACTGCAAAAGCTTTCATGCAAACAAACATGAATTTCTAGAAATGTATTTTAATGCTAAAATATTATGATTATGCACAGGTATTTTCTTTTTAATGACGAGAGGATCGTTCCAAGTTCTCAGTGTCTTGTGCTCACCATTTTTCTGGGGAGGGACTTCCCAGTGGTCTTGCTGATGCATTGTCTGACCCTGCAAGGAGCATTCCTCAAAAGATTAACATCTGAATAAGTGGAATCCCATTGCACAGGCCATGCAGGGTGGGTAGACTGTGGTCATACCTCTGTTGTGAAGGGAGGTGATCCAGACTCTTCCTTATGACTTACCTTATAGCTGCTTCTGTTTCCTTCTCAGGACCCCTGGCAACCTTTTTTTTTTTTTTTTTTGCATTTATCTTCCACAGCATCCCTGTAGGTTTGGAGTTTGTTGTTATTCCTGTATCAAAAAGAGAACCACGTGGAATTGAAGGGTTAATCCACTGAGGAATTCAGGTGCTGGAATAATCTGTGCTACAAAAGCCAAGTTCTAAGTGAGCTCAGAGATATTGGAACTCACAGCCTTAGGTAGTACCCAGTGTCCTGGCAGTTCATGTAGAAGAGTTAGGCACTGCAAGATGGGATGCAGGGAAAATAAGTGGAGAGACATATCAACTGATGGGAAACACCTAAAAGGGAATGGCTTTAGCACTCACCAGGCAGAGGCACTGATGGGCTGGGTTCTCTCAGGAGAAGCAGAAGGGGAGACAATTGACTTCTGCACTTGTTCTACACCCAACAGAGAGAGAGCTGGCTGCAAATAATTACCTGACAAAAATCATAGAAATGGTTGACCCTGGTAATTCTGTCTTCTTCGTGGTAGTTCACTTGCCTATGAGACTTAACACCCAGCTCCTGCTTTTTTCCAGAGTAATATTTTCCCATGCTTTGTTCACACAGAGCAAGGGTGACTTAGAAGATGTCGTATGATGCCATAGCAACCTCATCTTCTCTGAGGCAAAAGAGCTGGAGCCCTTCTCCAAAACAAGCAGGAGTGCACTGGAACATGGATCTCCCACCTTCAGAGCTGGAGGTCTCAGTTTTTGGGCATGGGATGACAAATGGGGGCAAGAGGAAGGACACCTTCTCTGCTCAGTTCCACCCAGAGGTACAGCAGAGCAGCTCGTGCCAGGGAGCAAGTCAGGGTTGCCAGCACCCTCAAGGCATGAGCATCTTCATGCATGTTCTGGAGCAAGAAATCTAGGAGGTGACTGCAGACATATCTGGTCTTACAGTGATACTCTGTGCTGGAGGTCTTTCTTTGCACAAAAACATAAAGAAAGATATATAATAACAGGAGAATTTACAGAGACTCTTCCATTCCCTGTGATTTTCTAAACATAATTTTCGATTTCTAATTCATGAAAGCCTCCTTGCAGTTTGTTCTCAAGTCCTTCTGTCGTCTGCCTAGCACTCTCTTTTTTTTTTTTTCTGAAAGTATTCAAGTCATTAAAAATGCAAGTACAACTATATATATCTCTCTAATACTATATATATTGTTATGGAGATAGTTCTAAAAGATAACATTATGAAGGATCTTATGAAAGATCTTATCTTCATGTGAAAGCTATTTTAATACCTTACCAGAGGTAACTGGGGATCAGTTTCACCCTCTGTAATTAGCTGGAATTACCTCCACCTCCTCTTTAGGCTGGACGAACCACATGCGGAACTGTTACCTCAGGTATTCTTGGCTCTAAATCTCTGCATGTTGAAGAATAACATGTGAGGAGCAGAGGGGATGGGAGGAAAGAATAGGGAAGGAAGATTCATCTATACCCAGCTAACTCCTCCCCGCATCAGGGTTTATTACGACATATTTCAGCCTGTCTGCCTACGGTTATTTCACAGGATCCATCCTCACAGAGATTTATGCCACAATTC